CTTCATTCAAGACAGTCAGGACTTCTCTGAACCACAGTCACCAGCATCCTGTCCACACAAAGGTCCTTGCCTTTATGTTTCCTTTCATTTATACTTCAATATTATATTCTGTCCTCGTTTGCAAGTTAAGGTAATCTACTCTCATAATTATTAAATACCTTCTACCTCTATTATAATTAGTGATTAATAATATCCCCTTTCATTAACCTCTTTAAAAGAATCTATATCCCTACCACATTAATTAAAATAAATGCATTTTGTATCTCATTGGTGTAATGTATTACGAGGTTTGTGAGCAAGACTGCTTTGTGAGTCTTCAAAATGAATCAGTCAGGGAAACACCAAAAAATATAAAATATCACAAGGCAAAAGAATCTCACTGTATACCCAGACTGATAAGCAGCCAGATGCCAAGAATAGGATCAGTTAAAACTTTTTTTTTTTTTTTTTTTTTTTGGTTTTTTGAGACAGGGTTTCTCTCTGTAGCTTTGCACCTTTCCGGGAACTCGCTTTGGAGACCAGGCTGGCCTCAAACTCACAGAGATCTGCCTGGTTCTGCCTCCCAAGTGCTGGGATTAAAGGCGTGCACCACCACCGCCCCGCTGGATCATTTAAAACTTTTAAGGCAGACGAGAAAGCTGAAGAAAAAGTGCCAGGGACCAATGAGCACTTTTTGGAGTTGAGTCTACGTTCTGAAATGTATCCTGATGTGGTACATGCCCACTTTACTTTAGCAAAGTAAAGACACTATGAAGAATTAGTAAGATAAGACAACAAGGGAAGGGAAGAAGAGAAAATGGGAAGGGTAGGGAGAGAAGAAGAATTGACACATTTTGGGCTGAACAGCAATTTGTTTTGTGTTTTGAGCTTTTTCACTTTTTCATAATTTTTTTAACTGGGTGCAAAGAATGGAAGGGTCAAGGGATCTTTACCGTGCCCATACTCATGTTTCAGATATATACTTACAGACAGTGACATGGAAGGCTAAGTTTAGTATTAGTCAAACTTTTGTGTCACTTTGGCAAGTGTCCAGGAGAAAAAAAGAGGAAAGGGTTTCTTTGGCTCACTGTTTCATTGTGTCACTCCATTATGGCTAGGAGAGCATGAAAGGGGAGGTGGCTAGAAGAAGAGAGGAATGTCCAGGACTGCATGGCAGAGGAGTGTCCAGGAGTGTCTGGCAGGGGAATGTCCAGGAGTGCATGGCAGAGGAGTGTCCAGGAGTGCATGGCAGGGGAGTGTCCAGGAGTGCCTGGCAGGGGAGTGTCCAGGAGTGTATGGCAGAGGAGTGTCCAGGAGTGCCTGGCAGGGGAGTGTCCAGGAGTGCCTGGCAGGGGAGTGTCCAGGAGTGTATGGCAGAGGAGTGTCCAGGAGTGCCTGGCAGGGGAGTGTCCAGGAGTGCATGGCAGGGGAGTGTCCAGGAGTGCATGGCAGGGGAGTGTCCAGGAGTGTATGGCAGAGGAGTGTCCAGGAGTGCATGGCAGAGGAGTGTCCAGGAGTGCATGGCAGGGGAGTGTCCAGGAGTGCCTGGCAGGGGAGTGTCCAGGAGTGCCTGGCAGGGGAGTGTCCAGGAGTGCCTGGCAGGGGAGTGTCCAGGAGTGCATGGCCGAGGAGTGTCCAGGAGTGCCTGGCAGGGAAGTGTCCAGGAGTGCCTAGCAGGGGAGTGTCCAGGACTGCATGGTCGAGGAGTGTCCAGGAGTGCATGACAGAGGAGTGTCCAGGAGTGCATGGCAGGGGAGTGTCCAGGACTGCATGGCAGAGGAGTGTCCAGGAGTGCATGGCAGGGTGTGTCCAGGAGTACCTGGCAGGGGAGTGTCCAGGAGTGCATGGCAGAGGAGTGTCCAGGAGTGCCTGGCAGGGAAGTGTCCAGGAGTGCCTAGCAGGGGAGTGTCCAGGAGTGCCTGGCAGGGGAGTGTCCAGGACTGCATGGCAGAGGAGTGTCCAGAACTGCATGGCAGTGGAGTGACAGAGAAGTAGTCAGGAGGTAGAGCAACACATTCCATGTTTCCAGGATTCTTGCTTTTCCCACTATTATTCCCTCTGAGCAGCCATGGGATGGTACTACTCACATTCAGGATGGGTTTTCCTCTCTTAGCATCATCTCAGCTCTTCCAGATGACCCACATTTGGTTCCTAGTACCCACATTTGAAGGCACACAGACACCAGTAACTCTAGTTCTGTGGGTTCTGATGCCCTCTTCTGGCTAACAAGGGCACCCTGCCAAACATGGCGTATATGCATACATTCAGGCATACACACATTCACATAAGAGAATAAATAAATCTTTTTTAACAAAACAAATATCAGTCCATATGAGATGAAAAACAATGAGCTTAATATAAGAAACATTTTAATCAGATCATAGGGGTGGTGAATATTACCAGGTTATAAAAACTTACACATTCCAATTTCATAGTTATTGCAGTGTAATAGAACTAAAAGAAACATTAAACTAAACTGATTATGATATAAATTCTACACCAAACAGACAATTAAAACAAAAGAAAAAAAGAGGTAGAAAACAGACAAAGATAAAATGAAATTGAATCGCTGGTTCCAGTCTTAAACTCTCCGTGGAAAGAATGTATATGGCCCATGTGTTGACTCAGATTCAATTAATATGGTATAAATGTGGTCTTCAATGCCCAGGCTCAATAGGCTTGTTTATTTACTTGGTCGGGTTTGAGCGGCTGTGGGACTGGCAGGTGAGAGAGATTTGTCCTGACTGTGGGCCAGCAAGAAAACTCTAGCAACAAATGGCGCCCAACGTGGGGCAAGAGTTTCCACCTAAAACCTGAGTAAAAAGATTCTAAAACGGAGCTAAAAACAGCTCCTAGTTGTCTCTTTTAAGCTAGCGGCAGCCTGCGTGTTTGAGCTACTATGGCGGGTTCCTAGCGTGCATGCATGCTCAACCTGCAGTATGGCGGGAATGAGGCCTCTGCAAGTGGCACATTAAGCTGTGTGGTGGATTTAGCCTTTGCTAGTACAAAAAAAAAAAGAGGTTTCTGGGCTACACGCTGCTTTGATAGAAGCATAGACCCACTATTTCTGAGAGTTGATGGCTCCCAGTGCTGGCGGAAAACGTATCACCGCCATGTTGGGAAGCTGAAGTGGGCGGAGCCAGCAGCGCCAGCACCATTTCAGGCTTAGAAGGCTGCAGTTCAAAGCAATAGGCTCAAGCTGATATAAAAAAATAAGCCACGTAAAGATGGCTACCACACAGAGAATCTGGATTATGTTCTCTTTGATATTCGTAACTAAAGAAAAACATTTGATTACAAAAGCTGTTGAGTTATGCCAAAATGTATATTTTAAAGGTACCTTGACTTCAAAATTTGGATGTAAGGATATGTTGCTTTGGAAAGGAGGCTCTGCTTTTGTTTCCACAGAAAGCCAGAGGCTATGGATTTGTTCCAGATTAAGACACATCAGGTTTGACCAGCCAAGACCACCTGAAAGGTCTCCGATGACACCATGGCCCAGATGATCCAACATCCAGAACCGTTTCAAGGCAACTGGCTTAGACGATACACCCTCATGTACTACTCCATAACCCTAAAATATTCTTTGTGTCCCCATAAGATACAGCGGCCCCCTCCAGCAGGAAGTAGTAAGAGAAGCTACGCCCAAATTCCCAAATATACCGAGCTGACTTTGGAGATGTGTAAAGGTTAAAACCTTCCTTTTTAAGAAAAGAAAAGGGGAAGTGCTGTGGGATGGTCTGTATGTCAAATGTGTTGCTGATTGGTCAATAAATAAATCACTGATTGGCCCGTGGCCAGGCAGGAAGTATAGGCGGGACAAGGAGGAGAATAGAGCTGGGAAGTGGAAGGCTGAGTCAGGTAGACACTGCCAGCCGCCATGATGACAAACAGCATGTGAAGATGCCGGTAAGCCACGAGCCATGTGGCAAGGTATAGATTAATGGAAATGGATTAATTTAAGCTGTAAGAACAGTTAGCAAGAAGCCTGCCATGGCCATACAGTTTGTAACCAATATAAGTCTCTGTGTTTACTTGGTCGGGTTTGAGCGGCTGTGGGACTGGCAGGTGAGAGAGATTTGTCCTGACTGTGGGCCAGGCAAGAAAACTCTAGCAACAGTCATTGGGGAGGTCACTTGTGACAAAGCCATAAGGAAGCCACCCAGATGTCATCAGGTAAGTTATTTTCTTCTTTACTCAATGACTTTTTTATTTTGTTCAGGGTTGTAGTGTGCATTTCTAATTTAAATGGTTAAGAATAAAGGCCACAGGGCTATACAGGGACTTCATACTCCTTTCAATTCTAGCTCAGTACAAAACACAGAGTCACTGTTGAATTAAGTACAGCTTAACTGCATTCTTTCTCAGTCTTAGAACAGAACTTTTGAAAATATCAATATAGAACACACACATGCACACAAATACAGGTTTTTGTAGTTAAATTTCATATTATATTGGGAATGTGATAGCTAATCTTGGTTGACTGCATCTGCAATCTACTAAAATCCAACCATCTGGGCACACCTATGGAGTACTTTCTTAATTGGCTCATTTGAGGTCAGAAGAACAACCCTAAATCTGGGTCACACTTTCTGGTTCCACATAACAACAAAAAGAAGGACGCTGCTTCTGCCTTTCTACCCACTAGCCCTCACTTTCCCTGGCAAGGTCATCTACCCTTTGTTGGTGTGAAAATCTACTTTAAGATTTCAACACAGACCAAAGTCAAGCTGAGACATGCATTGTGGATTAAACAACTACCAGTTTCTTCGCTTTGATCTTGGTACACAGCTGTCGTAGCACTAGCCAGATCATAGCCAATAAGCCATTCTAATAAATACAGATATATAATTTATTCTATCTGTTTTGTTCCTCCAGAGAAACCTGAGGAGGGACCAAAATTAATGCCCAATTATCCCAATCAGTTTTTAAGTTTATAAAATAGTTTCAAAAATATCCACACAGATTTATATATGCACTTTAAAATATTGGTTTTGATCTATTTACAGACATAAACTTACAAGCAAATTGGAGCTTGGCTTCTCGGCTCACTATTGTTCCAAGCGAATTTGTGGCAAAGCACTGATAACTTCCCGTATCCCAATTTCTGTTGGGGTTAATAACTATGAGATTTCCTCCGTTCAATTTGTAACGATGGTCCAGACTTGTGTCGATATCACTGCCATTCAGCTGCCATCTGAAAAGGAAATGTCAAGGTTATTTCTCTCTTTACTAGGCCTATGCTTAAATAAATGGCTCAATTCTCTACATTCCACTTTAAATATCTGAAGACTGGAATCTCAACATTCACGAGTCTGAGGATTTTTTTTGCAAGCTTTAGGTCAGCATAACTATCTAATAAGATCCCATCTCAAAGACAACAAATATGTATCTTTGAGAGGCAGAGTAAAGTTTAGTGGAAATTATAACAGTAGCATCTCAAAGTTAAAGGTGCTTAAAGGTTTTCTGAAGAGCTGGGGATAATTTAGCTTGCTCACTAGCTCACTAGGGGAAAATTTAGGCTGGGTTTATGTGAGCAAAGATGAAGCAGAAAGTTGAGGTAATTATCTGAGGAACTTCAGGCCAATCCCATGCTGACACCCAAAGAGGGGGTAGCACATTTCTTTGATTTATCTGGCCTGACTGAGCACATTTAATAAATTAATTGCTAACTATTCAATTCCCCACTTCAATTTGTCTGAGTAAAGACCTGTCCTGGGGCATTCATTTTCCCCTTTTCTGAAGCCTCCATAGAGTTATTTACACAACAGTGCACTGCAGTAAAAAGACCCTAACATCACTTGAGGGGCTCAAAATTGAAGGAGTAAACCCAGGAAACTTACTCATTAATGGGAAGCAAACAGATTTTTTTAAAAGAAATCTAAAAAAGTCTTATCTTTAAATTTTAACCAAAAGTGAAAGTTTTTAAACACTAAGTAAACTTGGTACACCAAAGTAGATTTCTCCATTAAAAACCACCCATGTGCTATGATAACAAGCATACATCCATGTTGTAAATTAATTCACTCACTTCCTAGACAATCAAAATCTGATCATAGAAACATACTACCTATACCGTTTAGCATATTACAAGAATTCCCTTAATTGCTGGGCAGTGGTGGTGCACGCCTTTAATCCCAGCACTTGGGAGGCAGAGCCAGGAGGATCTCTGTGAGTTCGAGGCCAGCCTGGTCTACAGAGAGAGATCCAGGACAGGCACCAAAACTACACAGAGAAACCCTGTCTTGAAAAACCAAAAATAAATAGATAGATAGATAGATAGATAGATAGATAGATAGATAGATAAATGATTGACTTAATTACTCAGCATAGGAATTTTGAGAAAATGGTTTAAAAAATGCATGCTTTATATAGGATAACAATAGTTGTTTGAGTTGTCAACAGTCCTAAAATTTCATCAGGGATTCATTTGAATTGTAGGTCACAGTTCCTCAATTATATTGTTGAACATGGAAAAAATCTTGTCCTAATTTGCAAAATATTTAATCTCCCTTACTAATAATTGTAACACAAAATTGAAGATAGAGTGATAGTGCAGCTATAAGGCCCTGAGCAAGAACACTTTCCAGCACATACCAAGGTAGGAAAACTCTGAAAATTCTAGCACCTTGCTTTGTGAGTCATCCTAGAGGTCCTGTGACTGAGTGTGATGGAGGAGGGTGTATTGAAAGGCAAAGCAAATGCTGACTCCTCAGCCACAGTTCTAATCACTCACCAGGCCTGAGACTGAGGAAGTGATTCAGGAAGAGAACTAGAAACCATTAACTGGAAAAGAGGGATGACCTTGAGGACACCTTCATGAGGCAGGAGGTGGACTGCATGGACTGGGTTCAGTAGCAAACTTCTGTGTGGGGGGCAGTTTATACATATGCATCAGTAGCCAAGGTGGTCTTTGTAAGGCATCCCAGGGGTTTTCACAGTAGGAAAAGGAAGTGAGGGTTAAGTCTCTGACCAAGATATCACTAACCCCAGCTAGGGATGGGAAATGAGGTGTCTTCTCTGGGTCAGGAGAAAGATAAAAATCTGAGATGAGTTAAGATAAAATTCCCTCAGATAGTCCTGTGGGTCACATGCTACAGCTGTAGGGAGACAATCCCTAAACAAAATGGGAAATAAACAGAAGATGATTAAAGAGAGTGGTTTTATTTAGATCCAGGAGTGGATTCTTAAACCAGTGGTTCTAAAAGTTAGGTCTAAAGATGACTGGGTGTTGTGAATTCTCATAGACTGTATTAGTGATAAAAGCACTGTGAACCTGGAGATGGATTGTGCTCTTTGCTGGAGAATGAGATCTGGACACCCTTTCCTATGAAACAACATAACAAAATAAATAAGAAGAGGAGAGCCCACATTCAAAATAGGGTCTCTATGATCACTTGCCTCCTCTTCCTCTCATGTCAGGATCCCTAGTTCTAACTCCAACTCCTGTGCATCCTTCTTTCTCCACTCTTCCTCCTGAAGGTCTCCCTCCTGTTCCCAAAACTCAATTCCCTTTGCCTCTTAAAAGAAGAACTTGAATGATATGAGTGATAGTCAATATTTTCCCCTCTCAAAAAAGGAACCTCCTGATTTTATGTTCTCACTTAGGTGTCAGGGGTAGGATTTGCCAACCACATCCCCTTAACAATCCAGAGATCTGAAGCTTAAAAAGGGGATTGAAGCCTCTGGTAGAAAATTCACATGGGTGACTGATCACTTGGATCAATTTCTTGGGTGCCAACTCTATAACTAACTTGAGTTGATGTCAATATTGAATATTTTGTTCTCTCCTTAGGAAAAAAAAAGGGGGGTGAAAAGAAGGACAGTAACCTGTAAAAGAGAATATCCACCTGGACAGTGGCAACAGATGAAAAATTGCCCAACCAATTCTGTACAGATAATAATAGTGAGGTCTACCTTGTTCACATGAGAGATTTTCTTTAAATTTTATTCAGGAGAGTACTCCAGTTCCAGAATGTTGAAAGCGGTCTTCAGCATACAACAGGGAAACTTTCTACAAATTTCAGAGCAACTAGAAAAAGGTAAAAGATCAGTTCAGAAATTACCCTAGCAACTAACAGCTGGCCAGGCAAAGCAAGAAAATTACAGAAGATTGAGGGCTGGAAGTCAAGAAATATGGAAGAGTTTTTGAAGGGTCTCTCAAGAAGAGATGAAGAAAATAAAAACTAAGAGTCAAAGATAATGATGGCAACATAAACCAGACTGTGAGAGTAGGTAGGGACCCAGAAATTCAAAGTCCAAGTCATTAAGTGGAGAACCCACAATGGGACCAAGAGAGAGGGGAGGATTCCAGAGAGAAATGAAAGAGCGATTGTTATAAACATGAAGAGAAGGGACACTCAAAGAGGGGACGGCCCTTTTTAAACAGATAACAGGAAACAGTGACTTTCAAAGAGTGATGAAGGGGTTGAGCTTTATTATCTAGAAGGATCCCACAAAGGGCCCTTAATAAATTTAGAAGTGGGACCACTAAAGGTATAAATTCCCTTCCTATTAGATTTCAGGGCATGTTTCTCCTCCCTGTCTTTTCCCCTCTACTTCATGGGTTGTTTTTGGACAATACCTACAAGTTTGGGGGGTTAAACGTGGTAGTTTTAGGGTGCCTATAATAGATAGCAATGTGGTTGCATAAAAAGAGAGACACTCACATCTAATTGTTTCTCATCCTAGAGGCAGGAAGAAACCAAATGACTCGGTTGAGGATATGATTTAAGAGAGTCAAAGCTGAACTTTGTCTCTTTACAACTCCTAACTTCAGAGCACAAGATGAAAGAAATCCTGGTTTGGGTAGAGCAAGGAAACAGGGAGAGTGCTAATGATTACTCCTACTGAAAGCAGTTCTAAAACCTCCCTGGAGGGGACATAGTTAGAAGTAAACAGTGCTTTACTCCTCCTCTGGGGAAGGAAAAAAGATTGACTCCAGGTATTAAAGGTCTTCTTGAGAATAGACTCTCAAAGATGCCTTCTGGGACTGTCCTATGGCAGAAGAAAGCAGAGAAGTATTTGCTTCACAACAGGATGATCCAGAGACCAGAAAAAAGGAACAACAGTACAGATGGACTGTCCTTCCTCAAAAGTTCAAAGATTCCCCTGATTTGTTTAACCAAATTTTAGAAGAAATTTTACAATTTTCCTGGTTCTTAGCCTCCTCTGACATATGATTTATTAATCACGAGAGAAAAAGAATGAAATTATTAAATCAACAATAGCCTTATTACATTTACTTGGGGATCAGAGGCTCAAAGTTTATAAAAAGAAGTTACACATTGTAGGGAAGGAAGTAAATGTTGCATAAATCCTAAATGGTCTTATAATAAAAACCCAGAGACAGATGTTGGGGTAAATGGTGAAAGATCAGAGGAAACAAACCACAGCCACTTCTCACCTTGCCAAGTCCTCAGCCAATCCTGTCTCCATGAGTCCACTGACTGAATGCCCCTGAGTCCTCAGCCAAAAGGGTTGTAGTTCCTGTCTCCTCACACCTTATATACTTTTCTCTGCCCAGCCATTTCACTTCCTACCTCAAGGTTCCTAGTGCTGGAATTAATAATGTGTGTACTTCTCAAATACTGGGGTTAAAGATATGTGCCACTGCCTGGCTTTGTTTCTCTCTTAGACTGGATCAATCTCATGTAACCCAGTGTGGCCTTGAACTTACAGGGATCCAGAGGGATCTCTGCCTCCCAAGTGCTAAAATTAACGGTGTGTGCCACCACTGCCTGACCTTTATGTTTAACTCTGTGGCTGGTTCTGTCCTCTCATCTTCAGGCAAGCTTTATTTCTTAGACTACAAATATCACCACAAGTAAATACTTAGGTCATCTTGTTAGTAAAGGGAGCGAAGAGTTGAGTCCTGAAAAAGTGAAGTAATTAATAGCCAACTGCCCCAAACCAGGAGAACTTAGAAAATTCTTGGGCTCAATGGCTTTTTAAACTCTGATTTGACTCTTACGATATCTAAACTAAAGACTATAATGCAAAACTCCCAGATGAGGAGCCAGATCTTCTGTAGGAGGTTTAAAAAAAAAAAGCTTAAGCTGTTGAAGTCTTAAACCAAGAATTAATAACTGTTCCATATCGGTCTTGCTATCTTTTGACAAGTTCTTTCATTTTCTAAGTGTGGACAAAAGCTATTGTTTCTGAAACCACTGATTTGGGATCATAGAGCAAAAAGTG